GAGATTCTCTCATTCTTAAAAAAAAAAAAAAAAATTAAAAAATCACGAGTGTGCTGTCAGTAAGGAAAGATCCCACATGTGCAGTAGCCCTACCTCTGTGTTTACCGATGTACACATGGGCGTATAACTACCCCCGTGCTGCTGTCAGAACTAGAATTCTGGATTCGGAACTAAACAGACAGCACAGCTGAAGAGAAACTCAGAGTCTGATATCCTGACTGATCAAATTGGGGTTAATATCCTTCCTCTGTTCAAACTTTTCACCTGAATGATATCAATGACAGTGAAAATCTTACAGGAACAACGACATGAGGTAATGAACAGGGAAACAGGAGATGCTCACTAGAAAGCTCCAGTCAGTCATTGCTGAACTCGACTATTGCAGCAGCAGCAGCAGCAGCAGCAGCAGCAGCAGCAGCAGCAGCAGCAGCAGCAGCAGCAGCAGCAGCAGCATTTTCCCCTCGCCTTTCCTTCTGTGCCATGTCTCTCCCCGCTGTCTCTAGGGGGATGCCCTAGTCATGCTCAGAAGCAGCCATTGCTGATTTTCTTCCTCATCTTCCAGCCCACCCCAACCACACATTGCAACCCTCCCAATACACTGTCCTCCCTATTTGAAAGTTCAAAATAGAGCTCTTAGAGTCTATCAGGAAGACAGCAGAATCCCAGCACTGCTGCCTATAGCCCGAATACCTCAGTCAGAATCCATGAACATGTTCAAGCCAAGGTCCACTGGGATGTACCGGGCGTGCCCTGCCCCCACCGGCTGGCCTCCTGGGCTTGGAGTAAGGCAGGAGCTTAAGTTAGGGCATCACTCCTCTTCCCGATGCCCACTCCAAATTCTCTTGGAATTTGTTCTGAGAGCCAAATGGGCACATTATATCCTTTACTGCGCAATGGTTCTTTAGCTGTTCCACTTGTAAATGTGAGTGTTGCTTCTCTGAATGCACTGTGACGCCTGGACCAGTTTTTACTGAGTCCCTTTCGGGCTGGCGCTGGAGCTCCATGATTGGCGCCTACCCTGCTTTGATTCCCCGTATGACCACCCCCACTCAAAGCAGTCAAAACCAATTCTAGTGAATAGCCCTCCTATCAAAAACTGTGCTGAGGAAAAGGGAAAGAATTCGGAAGAATCTCAAATTTCAATAAACGTTTTAAAAAATTTTTCCTAAAGTATAGGTTCACTTGATTAATCATTTAAGCATTTTCTTAAATATGGCAGAAGTTGGCAGGCAACATGATTGGGAATTGAACAGTAGCACTATATACTTTAAAATAGCATCAGTTCTGTAAAATAATAAATCACTTATCTACTGCATGGGGCTTAATAAAAGCAAATGCCTGTTAACTATTCAGTGATTCCTTAAATTAAAAAAAAATCACAAATACAGTGAGAAATATCTTCTCATATTAGAGGACAGCTTCTTGTAGTTGTGGACACTAAATAAGGAGTTTGCTGATTCTAAGGCCAACACTTCCAAGGCTACTTTCACCCTGTTCAGGGCTAGAGAGGAGGAGCCACTCTTCCTACCCACTCTGCACCATGTTCATGGCTAGCTTTGAGCCACAGGTTTAAAGATAGCTGCAGTATTAGCCAGAATGACTTGTCTGGGTGCCGGGTTACAGCATGGCTTCCTTTAAACAACATGCCAAGGCTTCCTATTTCTAGAGGCTTGGACATTATTTCTAATAACTGGACTGTTTGGCGGACATGGTTCCTGAACACCAAAACATAACAAGTGGAGCAGACAGCACTGCGGAGTCAACTGGCCAATTCTAGCAGAACGGCAATACGACACTTTACATAAACAGCGATAAGGCCTTGCGGACCAGCTGCCACAGCTGTATTATTTTCCACTTAATTTCACATCTCATACTTTATCATCCCCTACTTAATTTTGTACTGTATTTTGTGAAGTTTCTAGGAAAAAGAAAAAAGAAAGCTGTTGCTTGAGCCACACACAAACCTTCCATCTAAGTATTTATGTAGTAAGAACTTGTAGCAGGCGGTTCACTTCGTGCAATGGGAACTCCGGTCTACTGAATTTCTCAGTGTTGCATCATAGTTCTCTCCAAGGGAGGTGAGTTCAGGGCCCTCACAAGGAAAGAGCTGACACAACCAAATCAATACCTCATGTCCAACATGCAAGAGCTAATGGGAAACCTACATTTCACCCACCGTTTAAATGGGTGTAATGACTTCTCACTTTAATGTGTAATACATGGAAAATTCCATTCACTAGGTTCTTGCGTTTTCATTCTTATAATTCCTAAACCTATGAAGAAAGCCCTTTTACAGGTTTTCTTTCTCAGAAGTAATGCCAACTTTGTGTCACAGATTTTTTTTTTTTTTTTTTAAGGAAAGAAAGGTTTTGTTTAGCTCACAGTTTGTGGAGTTGTCAGGGCCTAATCAGCTGGCTCCACGGCAGGGTGGCAGAGGGCAGCTGCTCATGGTGGTGGGAAACAGCAAAACAGTAAGCCCCCAAAAGGGAGGAGCAGTGACAGTGGCAGCGGCGGCAGACGCCTGTGCCACAGAACTCTGTGAAGATATGAGGAGATTTAATTTCAGCAGTGAACAAAACAGAAGATGGAACCAATTCCTCCAAAAGGAAACCACCTGTATTCAAGTTGTGGATTTACCCTTGATAGCATTGCAAGTTGAGTTTCCTTAGTGCTGATGAGAAGTGAATTAATAAAGTGATAAAATGCTATGCATCGATAAATGTTATCTGAATGAAGCAATTAACTGAAATTCAGTAAGATTAATTTTAAATATACTATTCTCTGCAGAGAGTGAGTTTGGTCATCTTAACTTCAAGTTTTTCAGATCCACTTATGTTCTTCCTGAGACTCCTATAGTCATGTTATTTAACCTGAGGTTCCAAATAAAAAAGAACATAGTTTCTTTTCTACTTAAAAACAACAACAAAAAATGATAAAGTACACAAGTCTGACTCGTGCTCTACGGGCAAGCATTTTATTCACATTATTTAACTGAGTTTTTCTAGCTATAGATAGTGTGACATGGCAAACTCCACATGTGGGGCTCGGGTAACAATTGTGAAAATTCATATATTCCACTTGTCTTTCAGTTAGGTTGGCCTCACTATCACGTTTATTTTGAGAGCTCTTTTTATCTCCTGTCCAGCTACCTATGTACTCTACATTTCAAGCATAGAAATGAATAGGTCCTTCCAGCAGAAAAGTATAAAAAGGAGATATATAAAGTAAAGCCATATTAATATGCTGAGCCGTGAAAGGCTCAAGTCAACAACTTCTGTGGATAACCCACTACTATGGTGGACTGCTGGACTGTGTTGGATTGTTTTGCTGAGTTCAAGCACCTGTAGTATTTAGATGCCAATAGAATACCCATCTCTGACAGGACTAAACAAAAAAAGGGGATACAAAGGAAAGGCCACTTTGTATTTGTATATACAGAATAGTTAGGATATACAGCTACTTTCGCTTAATTCAATGAGAAGAAAGATTTGTACTCATAGTGTTTGGACAGGATATCCTGTCTGCATCTTGTACTATGGAAAACCACTAAGAAGATAACAATGTTCAATGTATTAATTATTGAAACTGTCCTATTAATCAGTTTTGGAAAAAAAAAAGGGAACAGGTCAAAAATTAGTGCTGGTTTTAATAACCAGGTGATATCACCCGAGCTCCAGCTCACACCCCAGAGCCGGGACCACAGCGCAGCGCCTGGTGGGTAGCTAGGTGCCAATGTGCGGCTCGTGTCCCCGTGCATCACAGACTTGAAGCCAAGGCCTGTGTTCCCAGGTCTCTCTCTCTCACTATTTACACACAGGAATTCTCCAATATCAGCTTTGTCAAACACGAGAGAAAAAGGAGCCGCCTCTGTCCTACAGGGCACAACACTGTCAATCAATACCTTTAATGTCGCTGAACTCTACTTTTACGTTAGTTAAAATAGTGACTTTGATGTTATGTACTCTTCTACACATTGATAAAAACAACTGCAATGGGTTTCGAAAGCAACCTGCGTGTGTTAGAGGTTCTCCACAGCTGTGTAATGAGTTTCTGAGTCCCTTGCACAGTTGGTGAGCGCTGTTACTGTAATTGGGAGGCTCTGTCTGCGATGTCGGTCAAGCCCTGCTGTCCGCGTCCACAGGAGGCGCCTGTTCTTCAGCAGTTAGTGAACAGCGCCTACTCACAGAACTTTGGAGCTTAACAGCCCCAGCAAAACACCTCAAGACATTCCGCGTGGGAGTGGAGCGAGCACTCAAGCACTGAACACGGCCTGCTCCCCTGCAGTGTGCTGGGGTGCGGAGGTGGGGAGTCGGGAGTCCTTATCTCCTACCCCGAGGGCGCACCTTACCCAAGGCTGCGTGATTGCTACAGGGCAGGAGACGTGGCCTGAGACTGTAGCTCCCGGAGAGTCTGGGACTTATGGGCGGGGGCCGAGGGCGCGTGCAGCTCCAAGCCCTAAGCCGGGTGTAGAGGGAATACTAAGGTTAGACCCTCGGCGGGCTGAGATGCGGCTTGATACTGCCAGGCACGGTGCTTGCCACACCAGCCCAAGTCGCAGGTAGGGGGCTTTTGCAGACCCCAATTTTCCTGCCTTAGCGCAGCACAAGACACCAGGGAGGTAGCTCAGTGGCTTAAGCGCCTGCCTGGCAAGTGCGAGGTCCTGAGTTCATACTTAGGGGGAGAGAGAGAGCGAGAGAGCGAGAGAACCAGAAAACACACGGCGACAGCCCACACTGGTCATCGTCTCCTTTCTCTACTTCTTGTGCACCCAAGACAAGCACAGGCAGTGCAGGCATACGGGCAGTCCCTAGCCCTGCTCGCACAGGAGTGAGAGCGGCCCCGGGTCGCTTCACGCGTACAGCCTGCGCACAGCCAGGGCCCCTAGCCCCTGGACGGCGCTCAGCGAGCCCCGGCGCGAGCACAGCCTTGCAGGCGCCGCCAGTCCTGCCGCCCTCTCCACTTCCAGCCCCCGCGACCCTGCGCGCCCGGGAACCACCTACCAAGAGCGGCGACCAGCACACCGACAGCACACACATGATCCCCATGAGCTGCAGCGCAGTCTCGGTGGTGATGCGACCCCACTGCGCGCTGGACTGCGCTGCCGCCGCCTTGGCCCGGCAGCGGGACACCAGGGCCTTAATGGTGGCCAGGTTGCAGGCGAAGGTGACAGCCAGCGCCAGGAGCCCCAGAAAGGCGAAGGTGGAGGCGAAGAAGAGGTTGCCCCAGTCGGACGCCGAGCTGGTGCCGTTGCCCCCTCGCGCGGTGCTGATGAAGCACCACGTCCCGGGCCACTGAACCGTGTACTGGCCCACGCCCAGCACGGGCAGCAGTGCGAAGGCCAGCACGGCCAGCCACACGCCGAGCAGCACGGCGCGCGTGGCGCGCGTCTTCATGTGGCTCGCGTACCAGTGCGGTGCGCGGATGGCCAGCGCGCGCTCGACGGCCATGGCGCTGGCGATGAGCAGCGAGCACAGCCCGAAGACCGTCATGGTCAGGCCGAAGAAGGTGCAGAGCCGGCCCGACGGGTCGTGCTGCTCCCAGCGCTGCTGCGACAGGTACACGACGATGACCACGGGGCTGGTGAGCAGCTGCCCCACCAGGTCGGTGAGCGCCAGGCAGCCGATGCACAGCAGGAAGGACTTCTTGCGCCTGCTCTCCCGGCGCCGGTAGCTCCGCGACACCAGCAGCATGGCGAGCGCGTTGCCCACGAAGCCCGTGAGCATCATGGTGATGGGGAAGGCCACGGACACCGAGCCGCAGTCCTCGCCCGGGCCCGGCGCGCGGCTCAGGTTGCTGCGCGCCCCGGCGGAGCGCTCGGGCGCCCACATGCCCGGGTCCGAGTGGTTAAGGCGGGTGCAGAAAGGGGCGCCCCCGCCGTCGCCCCGGGGCTCCTTCATGTCGGCCTCGAAGGCAGGACGCGGCGGGGCTCGGAGCGCAGCGGCAGGCGAGGCGGGCGTGCGGGGCGTGGGAGGGGGCCCAGGGCGGCGGCG